GCAGAAAACAAAAAATGGCCAATATTTGAAATCTCATGGCTTATCCTGGTCATGCAGCCATGTTTAAATTAAATTTTAAAAGTGTTTTCCCTGTCTTCACCTCCCTTTTTAATCTTGGGCTCCAAGGGCCAACCCTTCTCTTGATCTGAAGAAGGTTGCCCACAATTGAGGTGCTTAACACGGACCGTAGCTCTTTTCTTTCATCAAAAGCAGTAATATATTGTACATACTATGCCAAATGTGGTCCGTGGTTCAACTCAGCCTTCTAAATCGTACCGATTTTAATGGGAGAACTGAATACCTGCTTAAATTTCTTCCATTGACATATGAGAGGCTTAAAGCTGCTTACTCTCACATGGACTTGCCATTTTCAACAGTTCTTTTAATAATTTTGCACCATGTTGTCAGGGTTGGATCATCCACACTCTGTCAATAGGCAATCACTAGCAGCACCAAAATAAGTTGAATTCTTCCTTCTTGCTCCCTTATCCCTTATCTTTTCTGTTTGTTTGTTTGTTTGTTTGTTTGTTTAAAGGTCCTTTTGTGACAAGTATGAGCATTCGAAGTTCAACTAGTGAAGCCTTAGATGTAAAAGTTGAACAATTTCTCCCTAAAGAAGCACTGGGAGAAAAGTTGGAAGAAGCTGAAAGCATCAGTGAAGAAGAAAAGCAGGAATCCAGATAATGAGAAGGTTGCAGAAATGTCATTCTCCTTGTATAAAAATTATAAAGGGTTGTTCTTGTAGCTCTTCCATGGATTCCATCAAGTTCTGGTCTTGAAAGAGAAGTATGCACCAATATCAGAGACAACAATTCAGTTGTCTCCAAAACTGAAGCTCCTTAGAGCTGTTAGATCAGCAATCCCCAAAATTTTGGGCCTATATGTATCAGAATTTTTGGTATTGCAGGCTCAGCACATCTGGAGAGTCTGCCTGCACTAACATTAATGTTTCAGTGCAAACCATTCTCAGTTTGTAAAAAAGGTGTAATTGCACAAAGTATTATTAAAAATTTAAAGTCTTGTATTCAGTTTTTATTTGTTTATCTAGGAAGCTCTTGTGTCCCTCGAGTTTTTGCTTTAATCTTTTTCAATCCACAGATGAAGTGTTTATATCTTAATGGTCTTTTAAGAAAAAATAAAATGCATTGGCAGGTTAATAAGGTGGGTTATGTTGGGCATGGCTGCTATTTGCACTCTGACAAAAGTGCTGAGAGCATCTGGCCTTGGAGATTCATGACAGATACTAAGGAAGATCCCATCCTCTGTCCACATATTATGGACATGTAGCAACAGTATCTTTCATCATTGCTTAAAATGAGGTAGAGTAGACAACATATTGCAGGTAGTACAGGAACCTTGGTCTTTCGAATCATCTGAGTTTAGAAAAATGTCATCAGGCCTGTTGGATAGTTAAAAGCCTGAAGTTCTTTCCTTAAACTCTCACCAGCCAGGGGACAAGGAATTTGCATCTAACCTCCCAGTTTCACACTCAGATAAATCCCTTTCCTGCCCCCACCCCCAGTAGAGGCTTATATAGGATTTAAATATGTCGCCTTGCCTTGCTTCCCTTTGCATGCTAGAAGTCCTGCAACATTGTGGGTAGCTGTTTGCACAACACACAAATTAGCTAGGTACATTTTAGCCAAAGGTGTGGTGTGAAGCCAGCCCCTATATTTTATGATTCAAGATGTTATATCAACCTGGTAAATTCAGCAAGGCACAGTTTGGTCAATGGTGCTCAAGCTGTTGTGCAAACAGAGCTGCTGCCTAAAATTTGGGAAAGATGATGATAAACTCTTTGAAACTGTTCGTTTTAAAACAGCCACCAAGACAAAATGTTATTCCTAAGCCACCATTGGTATTCTCTTAATTAACTATGATTCACTGAAGCTCCTGCATTGATCAGGGGGTTGAATTAGCTGAGTTGTTGTTCCTCTACTCTGGTCAGATCCCATTTGGAGTCCTATGTCCAGTTTTTGGCACCACAGTTCAAAGCACCAGTGACGAGCAAGTTCAGAAGAGGGCTGAACCCAGCAGCATGAGGAATTATTAAAGGATCTGGGTATGTTCAGCTTACAAAAGAGACAGCTGAGGGAAGATTTGATAGGGTTCAATATCTGAAGGACTGCCACACAGAAGACAGAGTGGATATTCTGCATTGCCTCAGAGAATATCCAGTAACCAGAACCAACAGGTTAAAACTACAAGGAAGCATGTTCATCCTAGACATCAGGAGGAGCTTTCTGAATGTACAAGCTGATAGCTAGTAGAACAGGTTGCCTTTGCTAGAGAACTTCAAACAGCAGCTGGATGGTCATCTGTCAAAGATGTTCTAGTGGATCCTACAATGGACTGGGGGTTGAAATATATTGTCTTTGTGGTCAAGTCCAACTCTGTGATTCTATTATTCTGTCTCTCAGATCCAACTCTACAGTCTTATTTGCCTGAAATTTCCGGCTGTAAAAACATGGATGAATCACTCACTTTTTTGCCTGATCTTTCTTTACACTGGGCTGACTCAGTAGGGCAATATTTTTATCTTAAATGTGAAGATGACACTTTGTTAAAGGAAGAGCAGTGGTATAGTTACGTCACAATGTCCACATAGTGTTGCTGTCAGTTTTATCTCTAACAGATTCTGTCTATTTCTCTCACACACCAATTCAGTTGAGTTCCCTCTACTGGCCTTTATCATTTAAAACTTTAAAAAACCAGTAAAAATCTGGACTTTCTAAAAACAGCTTGAAAAACTTTTCCTAGTCTGCAGCTCTGCAGGCTTTGTTAGGTGTGAACAAGTTGTGTTGCCAACTGTACTCTTGGTCTCCTTTGGTTGTTGCAGAACTACCAATGGGATTGAGGTGGGTGCCCTACAGATCTGTGGAAAGCGATCTTTGAGGTTGACAAGGACCACCATTGTCCCTTTTAATGACAATTGTTGGATCCAAAGAACTGTTACTTCTCCAGAGACTTCTCTGGAGTAGGACATGTAAAAATATCAATTATGATCCTTGCCTGTTCTTCAAATGCAGGACTCCAGAAATATAAAAGAATAGGAAAATATGAGTAGAAATATTTTGATTCCAATAAATGCATTCTATCAGATTCCTGCCATCAGCTTTTACCTAAGAAAGGATGACTTTTGAACATGTGTTATTTATTTATCTATCCATTCATGTTTATAACTATTGTAAACCCACTCCAGCTGGAAAAGTCTCTGGGTGGCTTGCAACATCAAGAAAAAGAAAACCAAGACATAATAATTAAATCAGGAAAATGTCAAAACCAAAAAATAATCACAAAAAGCAAAGATCAATTATTTTAAAATTTAATAAGCATCAGTATTTTCTACTCTCATTGCAGATCGTATTATAATTCCTCCATATCCTGTAAGTTGATAGAGGAATTATCACTTATGAAACAAAATAGTTCAGATCCTGTAGAACGATGGTTGATCATCTTGTTTCTTCAACACAGGAACTTTATCTGATACTTTTTCTAGTAGAGCTACTGACCAAGTTTTCCCATGCCATTTTTCAACTGATAAATTATCCAAACATTTCTAATGATGAGCAATTAACTACTATAGTTTTCAAAAGCAAAAAAAAGTAAGTTTCTTGACATTTAACCCCATATTCTCTTCATTAAAACTTATGTTATAATCCAGATTTTGATGACTGAGCAATTCATCAAAAACCTTTTTGCAGAAATCTTATCCTTTTTCACATGTCCCCCAAAGATGGAAGAGTGTTCCCTTCTGTTTGTAACCCCTCCCACATTTGGCTGAATAATTATTAGATTTTTGTACAATTCTTACGGGGGTTGAATGCCATTGATGCAAAATCTTGAAATTCCTGCATTGAAACCAACAAAAATCCCTCATCACAGCAATGCTTGCCAGCTGTCTTCCCAGATAAGACATCTCTCAAGTTTCTTCTGAACTCCAGGAAGGATTTTCTCTGTCTCTTTCCAATAATGACACATACATTTTGGAAGTCATGCCTATAGGTTAAGAGGACAAATTTAGTATTTTGCAAAATTTGTTAATGGGTGATTTGCAAATTCCATCACTATCCTAGTGTGTAGGAATAAGTTGATGTGAATTCATAAGAAGCATGGTATTTTACATCTTAAATGCTGTTCGAGCTCTTCTAATTACAAAATGCAAATAGCAATTATTTTGTAAGCATCAATATTTTCTACTCTCGTTAAAGATCTTAGAAATCAATAGCAAAGATAAACCCCAAATAAAACTCAAGGTAGATGCCCACAGTCTGCCAGTCATTAAGCTCTGTTGTACATGTATGTATGCATATGTACGTGTGCGTGCACATGTGCTTGAACTCAGCAACAGACAGATTAAAGGAACCCACAGGCTTCGTGATGT